CCCCTTTATTGTTTCGGAGCATTGTATGCATCTTGTTCATTATTTTACTAGAGAAGCATTTTGTTTCTTCTTTTAGTATTTAGTTTACTGATATTTTATGGTTAGTTTATTAACATTAGATTGATCGTAGTTTGATTCTTAAGAGCATTTCGCATTTACTCCCTTTTTTAGCTGTTATGCATCATTAGTAGCGTGTTTTTACCTCATTTATTATTCACTTATGTTAATGTGCCTTAACCACCCTTGCATCGATCTCTTATCTGTTATATTGTATTTGTTAGTCCAATACAGGTTTAATTACCCAAGTTTGAGATAGTATGAGCGAAGTGAGTTCTATCCAACCTAGTGACTCGGCTAGCAATGTGCACTCTGCACCTACTCGTTGGGATATGAAGACGATGGAGGCTCTGAAAGAAGGGCAGGATACCTCCCAGAAACATGGCCCCCAGCGTGTTGATATCATGGCTCAAATTAGTGAGGCAATTGCCGATGAGTGTTTGACTAATAACATGAGTGTGATCGAACCTGCCCTCGCTTTGTTGGAGACCCGAGGTGTCCACGCATTGAGTGGACCTGCTTTATATGCTGAATAATGGGATAGCGAGGAGACTGGTGAGGAAGAGCCAATTGAGACCGATTATTTCGAATATAGCAGCGAGCCTCGTTGTAATCAACTACCTTCGATTACGCGATTCGAGAAAATGATGTGCGCTCTTTTACATGCAACTACCAGAGTGTGTCAGTCCGTTGGCACCTGGCACAAGTTTGAGGGCCACTTGGCGCTGATTGGAGAGGCCATAGAACTCGAACGAGCAAGAGTAGATCGCATGATATGGTGTATTCAGCATCTACATCATACTGCAGTACCTTTCTGTGTGGTGAGTAATTTCTGGGCCATTTGTCGCGGTGAGGAGCCCAAGGAAGGGTATGAGCAGATACTACTAAGATGCGTCACCCTCATGTATCCAGAGTATAAGGACTTGATTAAGTCGGCCAAAGCAGCCGAGGGGCCCAACACTATAATGTTCCGGCAGAGATTGGGCCTTAATAGGAACAAGTTGACCAGCGTCATCATGTATCTACTCTGCACATCTTATGCTCCAAATGACGATGCCCTAAATCTCTATACTTGCACCAATTGGAGAACCGAGAAGAGGAAAGGGGCTCTAAACCGTTTGTGGCGTGTGATGAACAACACTGAGCCGGTGACTAAGCTATTCGATGGAGCCAACGTGACAGATATTCTTCCGTTTGGAAGGAGTCCAGAGAGAGTTTGTAACGAAGGGCCATCACCGGACAATCCAGCTGAAAATCAAAGTGAACAGGAGCAGCCGAATGGACAGAAGCTTGCAAGCGAGGATGTCACACCAGAACCTGACGAAGTTGAGAATGACGAAGCCAGATTTTTGGGAGCGGACGATCCAGTTGACAAAGGGCCAATTGCCCCAGGCTATGTGGCCCCAACGAGGAAGTTGCCTAAACTAATTCACAGGAAATGTCGGATTTACTGCGACCTCCCAGCTGAGGCTATGTTCTGTGATTCGAATAGGGAGACCAAAGCTGCCAAGGTTGGAGGGCGCATGATCGCCACTTTAACCGAGACAGAATGGCCTAAATTACCAGGAGTGATGTTGGGCGCGCCCATGAGCACTAAAGTAGACGCTCTGCAACCACATCCCTCAATCGTGTCGGTGATTTGTTCCCAATATGATACAGAGTGGGAATCAGTAGCCCACCTGATGAATCGCATCTTTCCGGTGGGCCTACAAATTAGTACGGCGCAAAAGTGGTTCGCCTTCATACACGCTACTGTCAGCCGCCAATGTTGCACTACTTCTTGGGTGTGCGTGTGGTTAAGATGGTTCGATCGGTATTTGGTTGAGAAAATTCGTGAACTGGATCCTAACGCTACGCCGAAAACACAAGTGGTGCATCGGCCAGATTATTCCAACTGAAGAAGAGCATCAACTGGAGTGACGCAAACTGAAGAGCATCCTCACCAGGAAAAGAGCATCAACTGGACTGGTCGAAACGAGGAGCATCAGAAACCAGAGCAATGTCTTCAAGGAACGATTACGATTTCACGAAAAAACGTCAAGCTGAAGAACGCAAACTCATCGATGAAATTCGTTATAAGCGAGCATGCATAGAGACAGTATCGAAGTTCCAAGAAGAGGAAGACGTCCAACACAGAATACGTGGCTTCGTGAGATTCGTCATCAATACTGTCAGGAACAAAACGAATTTACCGAAATTCGAGGAAGAAGACCAATTGTTTTCGCCAATGGG